TTCGTTTCCTTCATTAACGCTTCTAAAAAAAGAAGTGAAACCTCAATGTATTCTTTCATTCTCTCTTTGTTTCGGCATCTTCCTCCTAATAATAGTTGTCGGTTCATTTTGAGGGCAGTAGATTTTTGTTTGTTTTTTTAGTGAAAAAGACTTCTCAGATTCCTGCAGCTATTTTGTGGATTTTCAGAAACCCTTATTTTCTGCACCTCATTCACCAGTTTTGTTATTCAAAGTCAAAGGCACATTCGCCTGATTTTTTTCTTTGCTTTAAAATCAAATTTAAGGTTAAAGATTGAAAACCAAACTGTTCAGTGGGGAATACTGTTCTCTGTGCAAGCAGTGATGGTTTTTGTGTCCCGAATCAGCTGCAGACGTTCATCTGTGTGAATCAACATCACACACATAAGCTGCAGCCCACAGAACAACAGCCTTAATGCAAAGAGGCAGAAATGAATCATGGTTTTTCAGTTCATTTTTTCCAGTTTCTTCATATTTTTTTTTCTTTAAGTCCCAAGTGTCAGCAGAATAAGTTTTTAAATAGCCCTTTGATATTTTCCATGTAGGCCACAGTCACTCACTGATGTGGGACAGAGTGCCAAATAAATAATGGTAGAGATATTTTTTCCTCGTGTGTTTTTATCACTCTGCCTTGAACACATAGAATAACAAGTAACCAAAACTCTTGGAGGTTTTAATGTTTTAGGGACTGAAGAAGCATCCAGGTGCTCATTCTAATCTGAAATATTGACTGAAAACAGTCAGCTAATGGCTCTGATAACTATAATGTACAGAATGATGTTGACATGCAGTGTATGGGTAGAGCAGCATTACACATAACAGAACTCCACAGGAAGTCCTTCATCCCTGTGGCTATCAAACTTTTCAACTCCTCCCCCTTTCTACAATAAAATTAATCCTGCATCACAATACACTTTAATGTTTTCACATTAAAACATTTCACACATAAGACATTTCACACATGTATGCACCTGACCTGTTTAGAACTTTATTGCTGGTATTTTTATATTCTCTGTTTTTTTTTTAAATCTTGTGTGATTCCTTGTGTATGTGCCTTTATACTGAAACTCTGGCACAACAATTTCCTGCGGGATCAATAAAGTTCTATCTTAGCTTATCTTATCTTAAATAGTTTGACCTTTTTAAGTGAGGTTCTGCGGAAAGGTAGTGAGCAGTGACTGTTTTACCTGCTATAGATAAACAGTCCTATTATTGAGAAATAGACTGAAGCCACGAGCAAAGTGGTTTCGTGTTGTCTGCCAAGTTCAAAAATCCAAAGTGGTTCATGTGAATGCAGTTTGTAAATCTTTATTTTTATTCTAATTATTTACATTTTTGTATTCCTCTTAAATGTGTTAGCATTGATGCTACAGCTAGCTGTACCTGCTGATGTGTGGACTTTTTAAACAACTGCAGAACTGAAAGAAAATACCACACATTGACGACAGCGTAAAGGTTTATAACGTAGTATTTGCAATGATTTATGGCAGCCAATAGTTTTTCAATCCCTTCAGGATTAAACTTTATTTCTCTAAGCTAATGCCAGTTAGAAAACTATGAGATTAAATATTGATTGCTCATAATTTTCCTACAAAATCTAATTTAAAAAATCCAACCTATCACTGTAACAAGATTTTTTTTTTTTTAAGTGCATCCTTACTGTACATGTGTGCCAATAGCCAGCGAAGGTTGCCTCTGTGTGCAGCTTTAGTTAGTTGCACATCAATACTCAAGCTGATTAACTAAAGTTAATCAGCGGACAGCCGAGTATTGATGTGCAGAAACAAACAGAGCTCAGCAGTGAGTGATGACAGGAATATGACAGTAAGTCACTCAGCAAAGTCATAACTTATGAATCCAATAGCTTTAATGGACATGTGAGGACTACAGTGATGGATACAGAGGACTGACTCAGCTGAACAAGCTGCTCTCTGCAGCCCTCTGTGGCTGTAGCTACACTGATATACTGCCTCAGTTTGGAAAAAATCAAAATCATAACTATTTCTGCATTTGCCAGTGTGCAAACAGTGAAAAGTGGTAATATGATCAATATGTGCATGCGTGGAAAGATTAAGAAGGGTGTGGGCTCCTGAACTAAAACTACTTTGGGGGTCCTATACATATTGCTGTCGTTTTTTTTGTTGTTGTTTGTTTTTACTTCGACAAAGTACAATAGTGATTACATGCACATTACCTTCAAAGTTTGCAGTGACAAAGCAGTTTCAGTTTTAATCAAACATCTAAAGTCTGAAACACAGAAAAACTTTAGTCCTAAAAATGTGATGAAGCCCGTTCTGTCACAGCCTACTTTTTTAAATTAGCCACTGTTTCACAGACCACTTGCAGATTTGAACATGTTATCTATTGAAACTAAAAAACAAGGATATTTTCTTAGGGACCAAATAATTTTAAATGGTTTTGACCATAAGAGAGATCAAGTCCAGAATATCAGCAAAGCAAATAACGAGCAACACCGCAACAATCTATCTGCTTTTATGATAATATAACAAGATTAAATAAAGCAAAATAAGCTGTGGGGAGTGGTGGCGTAGAGAAGGGGAGCCAGTGATCGGAAGATTGCTGGTTCAACTCCCGGTACCAACAACATCAAAATGTAGGTGGGATAGGTGAAGCACCCACACCTGTCTCCACCCTCATTTGCCCCACTCTGTCCCTTGCCCCCCATCATCTGCTCCCCTGGGTGCCCTAGATAGCAGCTCTCTGCTCCATCCAGAGAGCTGTGGTAGCTCAGTGGTCTGTGGTTGTGTCAGGAAGGACATCCGGCATAAATATAATTGCCAAGTCTTCGTGCGACTCAGTTCGCTGTGGTGACCCCTGATAAAGGGAAAAGCCAAAAGAAGAAGAAGAAGAAAAGAAAAACAAAGCAAAATAAGCTGCAACTAAAGTTTTTGGTTCTGGCATCTGGGATAAAGAATGCAGATCTGCAACCTGAGTTCATTTTAAAAAATGTTATTTGCTAAAATTTACATCCACAATGTCATTTTGCTGCATGGATATCAAGATAAAGGTGAATATACAGAATAATTACATGAACTTTAAAAACTGGTATGGCTCAGAATTACACAGAGTAAAGCCATTCTCTCTGTGCATGCATGGATTTTCTTCAGGTACTCCAGTTTCCTCCCACAGACCAAAAACATGCATGTTAGGCAGACTGGTAAATCTAAATTGTCCCTAGGTGAGAGAGAGAGTGAATAGTTGTTTGTCTCCTGATGCATGCTCTATAATCCAGGTAGAAAAATCTAAAAAAGTTAAATCTGGTCCTCTGGACATTCAAAAAAAAAAAAAGGCAAAACAACAAAAAATGTAGAAACGTTTCGTCTCTCATCCGAGAGACTTCCTCAGTCTGAGGAGCTGTATTCAGCTCAGTCTCTTAAATAGCACCTTCTCAGAGTGGATCAACCAGTTTGCTGCTGACAACCAAAACCAGCTGATCACATGCTCAAGAAGGACCATCAGCCTAACAATGGATCATTAGCACACTGATGGCTGTGTACTGTTCACAGAGGGCTGAGTGATACTAGCAATCACAGCATTGTAAGAGGGGGACAATTGAACCCGGAGGCCTCCACCCCTGTTTAATGATGGACTGTTTCTTTTCACAAAGATGGCCTCCTTTACTCCTCTCTCAAACCATCGTTCCTCTCTATCCAGGATGTGAACATCTTCATCCCTGAAAGAGTGACCGCTGGCCTGGAGATGAGTGTAGACTGGTTGATCCACTCTGAGAAGGTGCTATTTAAGAGACTGAGCTGAAAACAGCACCTCAGACTGAGGAAGTCTCTTGGATGAGAGACGAAACGTTTCTACATTTTTTGTTGTTTTGCTTTGTTTTGTTTTTTTGTTTTTTTAATGTCCAGAGGACCAGATTTAACTTTTTTAGGTTGTTTGTCTCGTTTGTCTCTATGTGTCGATGGACTGGAGACCTGTCCAAGGTGCATCTCGCACAGTGACTGCTGGATTTGGGCACCAGTGACCCCTGTGACCTGGAAAGAAAAAAGTGTGTAAAGATGATGGATGGATGGATGGATGGATGGATGGATGGATGGATGGATGGATGGATGGATGGATGGATGGATGGATGGATATACTGTATTTACTTAAACACTGAAAAAGGATGAGTGGTGGTGCAAGAGAAGCTGAGTCTGTGATCAGGAGGTTGCCGGTTCAAATTCCCAGACATAAAAAATTGTGGAAAGGTGAAGCACATGCACATGCACCTGCCTCCACTCACATTTTCACCATTCTGAGACTTTGAGCAAAGTTCAAAGTTCCCTAAAGAAGGGAACAGCACAAAGAAAAATAATGAAAAAGAAAAACATTCAAACTGTAAAAAGTCTGAAGCAAATTCATCAGAAACTCAAGACCCACCAGAAACCATTAGCGGATGCTTCAACAAAGAAAAGCTCTCCAGTCTCCAGTGGAATTGGCTTGCACCTCATTGGAGATAAGTAACGTAAAGAGACCATTTATTCATTACAACTACAATACTGCATTTTAGGGGCCCTGAATCTTGGGGCCCCAGGCTACTGCCCTGCTAAGCCCTTTGGAAAGTCATTGCTATGTTCATCTATATGTCTTTAACTCCTCCTTTGTGTCTGGGCTCCGCCAGGGCAGGGAGAGGAAGCTGGATGTGGGATTTCAAAGATAATCTCCCAACCAGATGGCAAAACATCCCATATTCCTTTTGAGGTTCCCCACGTGATTCCCTGTGCAAGGGCTGGAAATGTGTGTGTGCTGGTGGTGGTGGGAGATGGAGGGGTGTCTGTGTGCTCATGCAAAATTAGTATTGTGTCACGTGACTCGGGTGCGTATGCTAATAAGAGCCGCGACGTCACATTAATCCAGTGACCTGGTTAAACCCCCCAACTGAAGGAAGTGAGTACTGGGAGGGAGGGGGAGGCTGTCAGAGCAGGGGAAGGGAGACAAAGCCTCCCACACACTCTCACACACTCATTCACCTCCCGAGCAGCAGACTGGAGTGTATGTGTGCATGTGTGTGTGTGTGAGTGTGTGTGCTCCGAGAGGAGCAGAATCATGGGCAGTGTTTTCACACAGAGGAAAGCCGAGTCTGAGAGAGGCGCATAGGACCGAGAGTGGGAGTTCTCCGCACGCACTCACACACACTTCCTTCACTCGTGCACACCCACGCGTGGAAGCTCGCGTGGAGCACAGCTGTCAGGCTGGACGGGAAGGCAAGGACACCCACCTCACACGCACACACACATGCGCGCACGCCCACAGAGACTCAGACCCTGGAGCGCACCATGGTGGTCCAGGGAGCGGTGACGCCCGGGAGGACCCGCCGGCTGATGCTGAAGCTGCCGGTGGGGACTCTGAGGAGGAACAGCGGGGACAGGGTAAGACACGGACACTTCTCCTCCTTGCCTTTAACTTCATCTCCTTGTCTTGTTGTGACCACGACTGATCGTGCGTGTATGTGTGTGAGAGAGAGTGGGATTTTTAAAGCTTCTTGGCTAATCCAGCATTAGATCTGAGTTGGTGGAAGTCAAGAGCAAAGCTTTTAATCTCCACAATGGACAATACTTCTCAATGTTTTCTCTCTGTCAGTGTGAGCCTGTCAATCAGTGTCTTTCACTCCTCGCCTTCAAGGTTACAGGGAAGTTTCTCTGTGGGGGGGGGGGGGGGGGGGGGTCTTTGAGAGCAGCTTGTTTACCTGGAACTATCAGAGCAATTAAAGTGGCTGCAGATATTTGATGGTGTCTCTTTATCAACTCCAACCACCCACAGCCTAGAGCTCAGCTTGTTTCAAGCACTGAATCTGGATGGGGATTTTATTTTTTAATTATTATATATATTTTTTTTTTTTTGCATGGCTGGAGTCGGTTTGTCCTCCTGGCACCAGAAGCCAGTATTTATGTGTTTTTTGTCAATTTGGTGGGTGTGCACTGAACGCCAGAGATAATAATTAAGCTTGGATTCAGAATGTGCATTCATTGTCAGCCTTTATGTTTCTTGTACGGACAGGTTGCAACCTGCCACATGATCTTTTTCTCTTTAGAAAATATGTTTACGCCGCCTGAGAGTTGAGCATGTGTCTGTGTGTCTGTGTGTGTGTATGTGTAAATAAAGGTTTGCAGCTGTGTGTATGTGTGTGTGATGCACATCGGGGTTCTTTCATGTCGTAAATACACCGGTATTAAGGGAATCGGACTTAAGCACTGTGTGTGCAGGTGATGAGAGATTCGGGCTTACGGTCCTTCCAAACTGCAGATTACAAAGTGCCTTCAGGATCACACATAAGAAAGTTTTATCTCCCTTTTGAAATCTGTCTCTTCAAATGAATTCGGTTCGATTTCAGGCTCAATGACTTGCATCGTTGAGTGACTGACTTGTCTAAGAATTGTAAGCTCTTTGGAGGTCTACCCGTGTCTTTGTGACTGTGTACACAGACGATAAAGCTGTACACACACTTGCTCATAAATCATAGAGCTTGATTGTACATTGGATGAAAACAGCTTTCATTTTAATGAGCCCAACCACAGACCCCCAGCCTGTCAGCATCCTTAAGCACGATATAAACAACACCGCTGGGTTGACTGAGTTTTGCTGAATTAGGGGATTCAGAGGAAGACTCGGATAATATGAGTTAGATTGTGTTCTTACAGTCTCACAACTTGGGTGGACAAACCATGATATGACTTAAACGTAAAGGAAATGGAATATTCACTCGCCTTTTTGAGAAGATATTCCTTCCATTTGATTGGTTCATAAAGCACACATGTACTCACAATGAATCAATCACCTTAATTAAAGGAGAATGCAGATTTTACTCACCGAGAGGAGTGGTCTCTTCTTTCCATCTTGATTGCATTCCTTTCACTTGCCTCACATTTTTCTTGCAGCCAGCTGTGAGCAGACAGATTGACAAGTACTGATTTACATAAACTTGCTTGCAATAGTGTGCTTTAAAGCAAAAAAAAAAAAAACACGAGAGGATTCTGTAAGTGTGTATACGCCATGTGTGTAAGATCCTGAATATGTCAGAGTTTGGCCACACAGGCAGAAAAAGTACAATTTATCAAGATGAAGATGTAAAAAGAGCAATTATTTCTAATGTGATGGCAGGTAAACAAATCCCTCTGGTCTACTACCACATGCATGCTCCATGTCTTTCCCAAGACATGTCTAAAGATTTTCATTTCTTTACACAGCTGAGGCCTTTTCCTGCTCTGACATGTCATAGTAGATAACTCAAAGCAATCACATCCAATCTCAGCCTTATGCAACTGCAGAAGCTGTACAG